AGGCAAGCATGCCAGGAACGACAGGCAAGCATGCCAGGAACGACAGGCAAGCATGCCAGGAACGACAGGCAAGCATGCCAGGAACGACAGGCAAGCATGCCAGGAACGACATGACAAGACGACTCCAGAGAGCTCACATCCACAGAGAGTGGAACACATTCGTATTGAATCTTACGTGTGTGAGAGTAGCTTAACAGATTATTTCATGAACTGAAATAGCTTTTGTAACAAAAGCGTTTGTAACTTTTGTAACAAAATATAAATAAAGAAATAGCTTTTGTAACAAAATATAAATAAAGAAATAGCTTTTGTAACTTTTGTAACAAAAGCACGAGTGTGGTATTTAGGGATGGCAGATCCTGCTAAACAAACTGTAGAATTCCACTTAAGAGAGGCAGATGAGACAGAAGAGGCAAAGGTGGACTGTTAATGTTGGAAAGCCAGCATGCAGCCCTGTGTCACAATACTCCTCCCCTGGGGAGAAGGCTGTCAGTTGAAGACTTAGCCTGGCGTCAATACCCGATACTTCAATGAAACCAAATTATTATACTTAACAGTGTTTACAATCATGAAAAACATCACGAGGATCTGGTTGAGTTCAACACAGACAAATCCAAAAGTATTTTGGAACAGGAAGCTGGAGACAAGACACCAACTGCGAGGGGAAATACGCCTGGGTTCCCCCCTATCTTGAGATTATCTTGAGTTGATTTCTTTAGTGTCCCCGCGGCCCGGTCCTCGACCAGGCCTCCACCCCCAGGAAGCAGCCCGTGACAGCTGACTAACACCCAGGTACCTATTTACTGCTAGGTAACAGGGGCATAGGGTGAAAGAAACTCTGCCCATTGTTTCTGCCTCGTGCGGGAATCGAACCCGCGCCATAGAATTACGAGTCCTGCGCGCTATCCACCAGGCTACGTGGCCCCGCGACCTCATTTTCAGCTCACAAATCTGAAAATCTGAAAACAACGTTTCGGTCCACCCTGGACCATTAAAAATTCTTGTAATACACATCACGCGACATGATAGTGTGGTCCAGGACGGGTCTAAACGTCGTAGGTTCATCATTTTCAGATAAGTGGGTTTGGTGCCAACTGTTCAGCCAAGGGAGCCGGTCGGCCGAGCGGACAGCACACTGGACTTGTGATCCTGTGGTCCCGGGTTCGATCCCGGGCGCTGGAGAGAAACAATGGGCAGAGTTTATTTCACCCTATACCCCTGTTACCTTGCAGTAAAAAAATAGGTACCTAGGTGTTAGTCAGCTGTCACGGGCTGCTTCCAGGGGGTGGAGGCCTGGTCGAGGACCGGGCCGCGGGGACACTAAAGCCCCGAAATCATCTCAAGATAACCTCAAGATAACGTTATTATGCCTCATCGTCCCCACTCCTGGAGTCGAAGAGGTAATCAAACTCGGGGAGCAGACATCACACTATACCTATCTTCTGAGCCAAACCTAAACCGCATAACATCACCTGCATATGCAACATTGACCAAAATAATATTAAATGCATAACTTTGAACAAAGAGTCATATTCAGGAGTCTAAAAACCACATACATTAGACCAGTCCTGGAAGATGCAGCACCATCCTTAAGCAATCTTCCCATGTGACACAACACAGCTGGAGAAAATGTTAAGGTTGTGCACTGAGATAATACCCACATTCTTGAACTTCCCTGGCACATGCACAACCGGCTAGACCATGATGGCCTTAACACAACACGAGAGTTCAGGGACGAGGGTTCGAGCCTACCTGGGTATGATCCGGACATAGAAAATACTCAGGGGTATCGATGAGGCAGACACAGGCAGGATGTTTATACTGATGAAACATTCCTTCACTCCAAGGTCAGGGAATAAGTGGAACCAATTAGAAAGGGAAATAGAAAAGGGGGACCTTCCTCTTTATATTTAAAAGCAGTTATGATAACAAATGAAGAGGTCACGAGTCATTGTATTTTACGACCGAGAGGGAAAGGCGGGGCCCAGGAGGTGAAGCTCGGTGTTACAAGCGGTGTTAGGTAAGAAGAGGGAGAGCCGGTGGCTTATCTCGTAACCACTCACGTCTCCCTCCTAATTATCCTATTGTCCTGCTTTACTTCTCTTCCTTCCCTCTCCCCTCACCCCCTCTCTCCCCCCTGACCTCTTTCTCTTTCCCATCACCCTCTTCTCTGACCCCTCTCTCTCACTCTCACTCTCTCTCTGTCTCTCTCTCTCTCTCTCTCTCTCTCTCTCTCTCTCTCTCTCTCTCTCTCTCTCTCTCTCCCTCGCTCCTTTCCATTCACTCATCCATTTCCCCTTCCCTTCACCCTTAGTCCTGTGCTTCCCCTTTCCTTACCCCATTATTTCTTATGCTCCCCTCATACCCTCTCACCCGTCTCCCTTTCTGAGACGATGGCAGTACTGGAGCCAGCTGGCTCAGTGCCATGCGCTAGTCTGGTTAACTCTCACTGTTAACTATATAGCTTAAACCAATACCTGGCCACCAACTGGATGGGTGACCCTGTGGCCCAGCCTTGGCAACAGGGCACCAATAAAGATGTGTGTGTACCAAGAATTTGAGGGATTAAGATGAGAAGGAGAAGCAGGAGACATCAGCAAAGCACCAGGGAACACACCAGGTAACACACCAGGGAACACACCGGGGAACACACCAGGTAACACACCAGGGAACACACCAGGGAACACACCGGGGAACACACCAGGTAACACACCAGGGAACACACTGGGGAACACACCAGGTAACACACCAGGTAACACACCAGGGAACACACCAGGGAACACACCAGGTAACACACCAGGTAACACACCAGGGAACACCCTGGTGGACCACTCAGGGAACACCATTCAGGAAGGTGTTGGTTACTCAGTTATAACCAGTTTGGATCTGGTTCACCTGCGTCTCGATAGTTGTCTCTGCTTACTTTTCATTTGGCCAATCAGAAGGCAGGTCACGTTGTACATGTTATCGTTTAGCCAATCACGTTGCCAGCTCAGCTGCAGATCTGACTAATTGCATATAGTTGTCTGGAGACCGGCTATGTTGTATTAGCCTCAAAGTGTCTGGAGACCGGCGATGTTATGCTAGCCTCAAGGTGTCCGGAGACCGGCGATGTTGTGCTAGCCTCAAGATGACTGGAGACCGGCGATGTTGTGCCAGCCTCAAGGTGTCCGAACACCGGCGGTGCTCTTCAATGTCATCGCTCACACTCCCACACAACTTATATTCCTTAAAGTGCAGTCACAATAGCGTTTACATCTCTTTTTTATGTCTTTCAGATGACGTAAAATATTAAGCATTATTAACCAATCTATTAATTAGAGAACTGACTGCATAATGTGTAGGGTTGGAGGCTCCGAGGGCAATGAGACAGGCAGAGTCACCTACCATTTATTCCGTTATAAAAGGCGTTTATTTCGTAGCAAAACTATGTTTCGACCCAAGTGGCTTTGCGCCTGGGTAATTATACGGACCGCGAGAATCACTCATTAAAACACGTATATCTTTCCTCTCTGGTAAGTTATATTCCCTATAATGTATTTATAATAACTCTGTCTTCCTGACGGCACATCAAACTGTTATCACTATTAGCGAATCTGTTAATTACGAGATTTATTAGAACACTAAGAACCCGACCAGGGTTCGAACCTATGACCCAGGCCGGGGCAGAGAGTTTCTAGTGATTTATGACTTGGCGGCCATTCCAACTTTTTGGTCTCATTAGAGCACACAGAGGGCTCGGTGCTCGGAGGGCGAGCAGACAAGCAACATTAGAGCACACAGAGGGCTCGGTGCTCGGAGGACGAGCAGACAAGCGCCATTAGAGCACACAGAGGGCTCGGTGCTCGGAGGACGAGCAGACAAGCGCCATTAGAGCACACAGAGAGCTCGGTGCTCGGAGGCTGAGCCGACAAGCATCATTTAGAAATGTGTATATATATTTTTCATAAAACTCGAGATATTTTAGTAGTAAAAGATTTAAAATGCAACTTATTATATTTTTGTCTTTGTTTAAACATAAAACATCTACGTTTTTTAACGCATCTAAGATATAAAGCTACAAATACTATAAATGTAATGATTTTGGGTAAAAGCTAAGCTTTACAACATCTTTAGTGGCTTATACAATATACCACTTATATATTATATACCACTTATACATCAGAATAGTATATGTTCTGATGTATATTGTATTATATAAATTACAATATTAAATTGTCATCCACAATTTATGAAGGTGAAAAGAAGGCGAGGTGACAAGGTGCCAAGAGAGCGATAAGGTGACAAGGTGACAAGGAGGTGATAAGGAGGTGACAAGGTGACGACAAGATGACGATAAGAAGAGAAAGTTCCCCGAGAACTTGCATAACTGCTAAAGGAATCCGACTCCAGGCAAGTTGTAAAGGCTGAAAACAAATCTCTATATTGCTATACACAAGGAAGGTCCCACCCACAACAGTCTAGGTAATCCAGGTTGCTGCCCTTTTACCAGCGTTCATGCAGCAGGGTAGCTAAGATCTTGTTGCGAGGGGTATAACTCCTAGTTGCCCTACAATGAGGTAACTACTAATCACAAAGGTTTGAATCCTAATTACAAAGGATTGAATCCTAGTTACAAAAGGCTGGATCTTATTTACAAAGGGCACAATCCGGCTTACAAAGCGTTTAATACTAGTAACGACGGGTTGAACCCCTCAATCACAAAGGGTTAAAATATAATTATAAAAGATTGAGTCCCAATTACAAAGAGTTAAATTCAAGTTACCAAAGAGGACAATTAACGCTGATACCACCGACATTTAAGGAGACCATGAGGGGTAATTTTCGCGTATAATATCCATTAGAAACAGAAGCAAAACAATGCAAGTTAAAAGGGAGTAAATCAAGGACGAAGAGACAGAGGAACGAGGGGAAGGAAGGGGAAGGAAGGAGATGGAGGGGATGGAGGATGGGGAGAAAGGGAGGGGATGGAGGAAGGGAAACATGGAGGAAGCACTAACCTTTAACGAGGATGTGAAGGAAGTTGTCGTGGCCGGTAGGCGCCGTGCAGGTGAAGGTGCCCGTGTCGTCCACCTTGGCGTAGTAGAGGGAGAGGCGGTAACGCAGCTCCCTCTCCACCCTGCTGATTGCCCACCCTGAGGCAGGGAGAGGGAGAGAAATAACACACTATAAATCCTCCCAATATCACCGACACAAGACAGCTGTGAAAGTTAAGCCAGCCACCAAACACAACCTTCCCCCCAGGACAGAGGGAACATTCCCTAGAAAGGTGGACTCGAGAGTTGGAAGCTGCGTCTGGGTGACGATAGCGTCACTGGTGAGGTGTGTATACGGCCCTCAGGCCTGGCACAGCGGGGGAGATGTTGCCCAGGTGATGGGAATGATGGGGAGAGAGTGCCAGTCTCTCTGAGTTAGTACACCAGTGATCAAGGTTTACTGTCATACTGCAGCAGTATATGTTGACATTTTCAGTAATCTGTGTCAGACCTGACAAATGCAACAAATAACAGGAAGATGCTGATCACTGGAGAGAGAGAGAGAGAGAGAGAGAGAGAGAGAGAGAGAGAGAGAGAGAGAGAGAGAGAGAGTTTCACATGTCATTTGAGAGACCACAGACTACTAAGGTTCTTCTCCCTTTGAGAGAGGAGGAAGCCAATGGCTGTGTTTGACTTCCCAGCTCTTTAAATCACCGAGTGGCTGTGGCTATTGTATTCCTCGCTGCACAATCAATGTAACACACGTCAAACTGTCTTTCATATTCACAACTAAAACAAAACATCTAAATTCTATTAATCATTATTACTGAGTTGAACGAGTGGCTGTCCAATTATAAACATAATTATTGCCTCATTCTTCACACAAAAAATACACCTGTGTATAGTGAGCCGGTGTATTAATTGACATTGTTTCGTGTATATTTACTGACAAGACAGAACAGTTAAATTATTACACTTGTGGTGCACATGTTCAGTATTCCTGTGTCGTTTAGCACTTGGTGACTCTCTTAATGTTGTTTATGCAAACTATTTTTGCAATTGTTTACATTGCTTTCTTTGTTTACTTGTATGAGGAACTGAGACCAGAAAACAGGAATTTAGGAACCAGGGGTTAGATTCACGAAGCAGTTACGCCAGCACTTACGAACCTGTATATCTTTTCTCAATCTTTGGCGGCTTTGTTTACAATTATTAAACAGTTAGTGAGCTCCGAAGCACCAAGAGGCTGTTTATAACAATAACAATAGCTTATTGGGAAGTTTTCATGCTCGTAAACTGCTTAATAAATGTAACCAAAGCCGTCAAAGTTTGAGGAAATATGTACAGGTTCGTAAGTACTTGCGTAACTGCTTCGTGAATCAGGCCCCCCGGTAGCCATGCTTACAACCTATACCTGTCAGCTACACTTGTTATATGTGCACACACCTGCACTTGCTATATATACATCCACCTGCCATATATATACATACATACATACATACGCCTGAAGCAAACAGGCGTATGTATATATGTATACCTCGATTCAAACATAAGATTGAAAAAACTGCAGTGGATCCATTAATGCACCTATTGCTTACACCCACACACACCCTCTCATATAATTGTCTAACCTACGCTTGAAACAATCCACCGACACCCTAGTCTATTATATTACCCGGCAACCTGCTCTAGAATTCCGCAACCCAACTTTCAATCCAGTATTTAACCCATTTTTTCCGAAGGATGAAAAAGGATGTTTAGTGTTCAATTTTGAATTGATATATTTCATCCATTTGCATGCATCAATCATGTCCTCACTTTATGTCATTCTTAGGAATGGAAATACAGGTCATCTCATCTCTCCTCCTAAGACAGGGTCCTAACGATCGTAATTAACTTGATTAAGCTTCTCGTAACTGGTTCAATTATATGTGTGTGCATTATATTGAGTGGATGGTACCTAGTCAATCTTCCTGTACATAGCCAGCAAGCCACTTCCACCTCCTCCTCCTCCTCCCAGCATCTTAAACTCCCTCCCTATCCCTTTCCCCCCAACAACAGGGCCGCCCTCCTCCGCTCTCCACCCCCGTCTCCACGCCCCCGTCTAAGGAACCCCCACCTCGCCAATGGAGGGAAGTTGATGGCACTGTCTTGGGCCGAGAACAAGATTACTTAGCACATCTCTCGTGTAAACAGATGGACCCGCGCGCCCCGGCACGGAAAGAATGAGACGATGAATTGGGCAATAAATTACCTGTGTGAGGGATGAAGGTGTCCCCCAGGAGAGTGGTGGATGTGTGTGTGTCGACCGTACACACACACACACACACACACACACACACACACACACACACACACACACACACACACACACACACACACACACACACACAAGTGTGTCCGTCTTCCATACAGGAAGACGGATTCCACACATTCCTTCCAAATACAGGAACCTGTACACCTGTTGATTGACGGTTGATAGGCGGGACCAAAGAGCCAGAGCTCAACCCCCGCAAGCACAATTAGGTGAGTACACACACACACACACACAGTTGATTGACAATTGACACACAATCTACCATATGATTGACAGTTGAGAGGCAGACCAAGAACCAGAACGCAACCCCCGCAAGCACAAATAGGTGAGAACACACACACACACACACACACACACACACACACACACACACGCACACACACACACACACACACACACTACAGGCCGGTGTCCCTAGCTTGTACACCATGTAAGGTGATGGAGAAGATCGAGAGAAACAACTTGTAGAGCATCTGGAGAGAAGGGACTTTGTAACACCCCCCCCCCCTTAGACGAATTCAGGCATGGTAAAAATCGTACCTCATAGGACTAATAGAATTCTATGATCTGGCGACAAGAATTAGCAATAAAGAGAAGGGTGGACATACTGCGTTTTCTTGGATTATAAGAAAGCCTTCGACACAGTACCCCATAAAAGTTGGTACATAAGTTAGAGAAGCAGACAGGAGTAACGGGTAGGGTGCTCCAGCGGATAATGGAGTACCTAAGCAACAGAAGAGTCAGTTACTGTGAGGGCTGAGGTCTCAGAAAGGCGAGATGTCATCAGCGGAGTCCCAAAGGGCTCTGTACTCGGCCCTACCCGGTTTCTGATATATGTAAACAATCTTCCAGCGCCTATAGACTCCCTGCTGTCAATGTTTGCTTATGAAGCAAAAATTGAGAAGGATTAAGACAGAGGAAGAGAGTAAGAGATCAGAAGATGACCTGGACTACTTGATGAATGTTGCAATAAATGCCTACTAGAGTTTATGTCCAGCAAGTGTAATGAAAATAGGTGTAGGGAGCAGGAGGCCGGACACAAGGTACCTATTGGGAGATAAAATTCTTCAGAAATCTGGTAGGAAGAAAGATCTGGATGCTGATATCACACAGAATATGTGTCGTAAAGCCCACATCAAGAGGATATTATCAGCGGCGTGTCTCACCCTGGACACACTGGCAGGGGTACGGTCCACACCCTGGACACACTGGCAGGGGTACGGTCCACACCCTGGACACACTGGCAGGGGTACAGTCCACACCCTGGTCACACTGGCAGGGGTACAGTCCACACCCTGGACACACTGGCAGGGGTACGGTCCACACCCTGGACACACTGGCAGGGGTACGGTCCATACCCTGGTCACACTAGCAGGGGTACGGTCCACACCCTGGTCACACTAGCAGGGGTACGGTCCACACCCTGGTCACACTAGCAGGGGTACGGTCCACACCCTGGACACACTAGCAGGGGTACGGTCCACACCCTGGTCACACTAGCAGGGGTACGGTCCACACCCTGGACACACTGGCAGGGGTACGGTCCACACCCTGGACACACTGGCAGGGGTACGGTCCACACCCTGGACACACTGGCAGGGGTACGGTCCACACCCTGGACACACTGGCAGGGGTACGGTCCACACCCTGGACACACTGGCAGGGGTACGGTCCACACCCTGGACACACTAGCAGGGGTACGGTCCACACCCTGGACACACTGGCAGGGGTACGGTCCACACCCTGGACACACTAGCAGGGGTACGGTCTACACCCTGGACACACTGGCAGGGGTACGGTCCACACCCTGGACACACTGGCAGGGGTACGGTCCACACCCTGGACACACTGGCAGGGGTACGGTCCACACCCTGGACACACTGGCAGGGGTACGGTCCACACCCTGGTCACACTGGCAGGGGTACGGTCCACACCCTGGACACACTGGTCCCGCTGGTGAAGTTCCATCAACTCGAAGTTAAACAATTATTTGTGATTACCAAAGTTGTGGCTCGTTATGCTCCCAACACCACCACAACCACCACTACAACCACCACTACAACCACCACTACAACCACAGCTACCACCACCACCACCACAACCACCACAACCACCACTACAACCACAGCTACCACCAACACCACCACAACCACCACTACAACCACAGCTACCACCACCACCACCACAACCACAACCACCACTACAACCACAGCTACCACAACCACCACCACAACCATCACTACAACCACAGCTACCACCAACACCACCACAACCACCACTACAACCACAGCTACCACCACCACCACCACAACCACCACTACAACCACAGCTACCACCAACACCACCACAACCACCACTACAACCACAGCTACCACCAACACCACCACAACCACCACTACAACCACAGCTACCACCACCACCACCACCACCACCACCACTACAACCACAGCCACCACCAAGTTTTAACATGTAAGGGCTGGTTAAAACAATAACTACCATTATAACTGCTATTACTTCAAACATTAGCATCAGCAACAACTATTCTCCCCTTTAACCATTCCATCCATATAGGAGCCGGTCGGCCGAGCGGACAGCACGCTGGACTTGTGATCCGGCGCTCCCGGGTTCGATGCCGGGCGCCGGCGAGAAACAATGGGCAGAGTTTCTTTCATCCTATGCCCCTGTTACCTAGCAGTAAAATAGGTACCTGGGTGTTAGTCAGCTGTCACGGGCTGCTTCCTGGGGGTGGAGGCCTGGTCGAGGACCGGGCCGCGGGGACACTAAAGCCCCGAAATCATCTCAAGAAGATATTCTCAAGAAGAAGATCCTTTACACAACCATACACAACACAACCACCAATCATAATGGTTGGCCCAATCACTTGGGGTGGACGGTAGAGCGACGGTCTCACTTCACGCAGGTCGGGGTTCAATCCCCGACCGTCCACAAGTGGTTGGGCATCATTTCTTCCCCACCGTCTTCATTACTTAAGTAATGCTAGGAGACTTTGGGTAATTACATGCACCCAGGTTAGGTTAGGTCAAGGTAGGTCGGGGAAGGTTAGGTCAGGGAAGGTTAGGTCAGGGAAGGTTAGGTCAGGGAAGGTTAGGTCAGGTCAGGGTAGGTCAGGTCAGGGTAGGTCAGGGAAGGTTAGGTCAGGGAAGGTTAGGTCAGGTCAGGGTAGGTCAGGGAAGGTTAGGTCAGGGTAGGTCAGGGAAGGTTATGTCAGGTTAGGTCAGGTCAGGGAAGGTCAGGTCAGGGAAGGTTAGGTCAGGTCAGGTTAGGTCAGGTCAGGTTAGGTCAGGTCAGGGTAGGTCTGGGAAGGTTAGGACAGGTCAGGTTAGGTCAGGTCAGGTTAGGTTAGGTCAGGTCAGGGAAGGTTAGGTCAGGTCAAGGCATGGAAGGTTAGGTCAGGTCAGGTTAGGTTAGGTCAGGTTAGGTCAGGTCAGGTCAGGGTAGGTCAGGTCAGGTTAGGTCAGGGAAGGTCAGGGTAGGTCAGGTTAACCTAACCTAACTAGCACATTGTCTTACTGAAGACCAGACACTGAAACACATTTAAATCAGACGTGACTGTGTACCGTAAGTGGGCAGGGGGGGGGACACGGCACAATCACAGACAAGCACTTGGACAACAAAGTCTTTGAGGCAGACGGACCTGTTGTGGGAGGACACGCGCACAACTTTAATTGCAATTGTTGAAGCGGGGAATACAATGTCTTCATCAATGTAATAATAATAATAATAATAATAATAATAATGTAATGAAGATGGTTATCATTGTCATTAATGTATAGTTTTTAATTATGATATCGCCACTACTCTCGCTATAATTGTTCAAACTTACCAGATAACACACATTAAACCTTCAGACTCTAGGCGGTGGGGTTCAAGAGCTCGATCTCAGTCCCCCGAAGTCACTAATAGGGAGGCATTGATAGGTAAACACAGTGGCCAAGTGAAGATGCGTCTACAGTTGTGTTAAGGAAGTACCACTATGTGAGCCATTTTATGAAGTACTGCGCTGTACAATGTAACCGATCACACCCGGACCTGTTGGAGACGGTCGGCCGAGCGGACAGCACGCTGGACTTGTGATCCTGTGGTCCTGGGTTCGATCCCAGGCGCCGGCGAGAAACAATAGGCAAAGTTTCTTTCATCCTATGCCCCTGTTACCTAGCAGTAAAATAGGTACCTGGGTGTTAGTCAACTGTCACGGGCTGCTTCCTGGGGGTGGAGGCCTGGTCGAGGACCGGGCCGCGGGGACACTAAAGCCCCGAAATCATCTCAAGATAACCCCAAGATAACCCATTAACCGCTACACATAACACGAAGGCAATTGTGACTACTGAAGACTGTAATAAAACAAGCCATTGGTGTAAGGTAATTAGGTGAAAGTGCTTAGCTATAGTGCTATATAGTACTTGGAAGGAGATCTGAGGACGGTCCGCACCCACTTGGACCATCGGGAATCGAACGCCGACCTTACAAGAAGTGAAGTCTTCGCTGTAGCGCCCTGTACAAGTGGGTGGATTAATGTCTCGAAGTGGATGGATTAATGTGGATTAATGTGAATGATTCCCGATGACTCAGAAAGACACTAAAGTAGGGGGGGGGGGAAGGAGTATAATATTTAGCGGAGAAATTATTCTTATCTATTAACTCAATCGAACGTCATTTTGAGGTCACATGTAAATAACTTTCAAGGAAGCTTTAGTCTAATGACGTGCACTATATATGACATATATGAGTGAGTTCGGGTGGGTATAAATGAGAGCTGCTATATATGAGTCAATACGGGGATCACCATAGCCCGTGCTAAATGGGAAATTTGGTTCCAGTAGCTGAATCTAAAACAACAACTGCGTACAAGCCAACAGGCCACTTCTACAGCGTACTCACCTAGTTGTGTTTGCGGGGGTTGAGCTCTGGCTCTTTGACCCCGCCTCTCAACTGTTAATTAACGTGCTTGTGTTGTAATGTTCTTCTCGTACTTGCTTATAGTCAATATTGGCTTATTTAATAAGTGCATATGTGATATACTAATTGTAAATATTTTAGTTTACCTTGAAAAGCTTCATAGAAAACACCGACCTCACCTAACCTTCTTAGTATGTTAAGATAAGCATCTTATTGCTTCTTAATTACAATTATTACTTAACCTATACCGTTGATAGATTAAGTAATAATTGTAAATAAGAAGCAATAAGATGTTTATTATCTTAACATACTAAGAAGGTTAGGTGAGGTCGGTGTTTTCTATGAAGCTTTTCAAGGCAAACTAAAATATTTACAATCAATTAGTATGTCACATATGCACTTATTAAATAAGCCAATATTGACTATAAGCAAGTGCGAGAACGGGTTAAATGTTCCCTGGCAGAGTGACCGTGTGGCGACGCCACTCACCTGTGGGGTACTGGAGTGACCGTATGAAGGCGTCACTCACCTGTGGGGTACTGGAGTGACCGTATGAAGGCGTCACTCACCTGTGGGGTACTGGAGTGACCGTATGGCGGCGTCACTCACCTGTGGGGTACTGGAGTGACCGTATGGCGGCGTCACTCACCTGTGGGGTACTGGAGTGACCGTGTGGCGGCGTCACTCACCTGTGGGGTACTGGAGTGACCGTATGGAGGCGTCACTCACCTGTGGGGTACTGGAGTGACCGTATGGCGGCGTCACTCACCTGTGGGGTACTGGAGTGACCGTATGGCGGCGTCACTCACCTGTGGGGTACTGGAGTGACCGTGTGGCGACGCCACTCACCTGTGGGGTACTGGAGTGACCGTGTGGCGACGCCACTCACCTGTGGGGTACTGGAGTGACCGTATGAAGGCGCCACTCACCTGTGGGGTACTGGAGTGACCGTATGGAGGCGTCACTCACCTGTGGGGTACTGGAGTGACCGTATGAAGGCGACACTCACCTGTGGGGTACTGGAGTGACCGTATGGAGGCGCCACTCACCTGTGGGGTACTGGCGGTAGTTGGAGGTCCAGCCCCAGGTGGGGTTGCCGTGGACCCTGGGGTAGAGACAGTCCAGGTGGAGGATGGAACCCGGGAGCAGCACCAGGGAGCCCCCCACGTCCAGCACCCCTTCTCCCCCCGCCACCGACCAGTCCAGCGCCGGGGGGGAGTCGTCCGCTGCACCGAGGGGGGGGGGGGGGGCAGGGGGAGCGAGATACCACGTTAGTGAGGGAGTTTTGGAGGAGAGTTAAAGATGTGAGGTTTGTAGAAATGGGTCACGGAGTTCAGGGGGTGGGGTGAGGGAGTTGGAGGTGTTTGGCGGAGGGGGAGAAGGAGTTGGAGGTGTTTGGGGGAGGGGGAGGGGGAGGGGGAGGGGGTGTTGGGGGTGTTGGAGGTGTTTGGGGGAGGGGGAGGGGGTGTTGGGGGGAGGGGGTGTTGGGGGAGGGGTGTTGGGGGGAGGGGGAGTTGGAGGTGTTTGGGGGAGGGGGAGGGGGAGTTGGAGGTGTTTGGGGGAGGTGTTTGGGGGAGGTGTTTGGGGGAGGGGGAGTTGGAGGTGTTTGGAGGAGGGGGAGGGAAGACTTGGAGGTGTTTGGAGGAGGGGGGAGGGAGGACTTGGAGGTACATATGGGGAATATAACATGGGAAGACTAACCCATATATCTCCAAAAACACACACCACACTCCTCCCAACACACAGGGGAGACAAGACACACATATGACTTAAAAAGCTTAAGCTGCGAAAATGTATATAAATTCATGTCATAATCAGTTTCTTATATATCTTGTCACCTGTCCTCATGCTAGGCTCGTCCAAGCGGCGGCCGTCCCCTAAGACGTATTCGTTAATTTTAACGTACTGCGTATTCCACACTTGTATTTTCTCAATTATAAGTTACTGTTATTATTACATATCAGAATGTGATGAGTTGCTAGACCTAATTTTGGTTAGGCCAGGTGATTAGGTTCTGTTGGCAATTACTGATATTTGCAGGAGGTGGGTGATACCCTGAGGACGGGTTGGTTGATGAGGACGGGCTGGTTGATGAGGACGGACTGGTTGATGAGGACGGGCTGGTTGGTGAGGACGGGCTGGTTGATGAGGACGGACTGGTTGATGAGGACGGGCTGGTTGATGAGGACGGGCTGGTTGATGAGGACGGGCTGGTTGATGAGGACGGGCTGGTTGGTGAGGACGGGCTGGTTGATGAGGACGGGCTGGTTGATGAGGACGGGCTGGTTGATGAGGACGGGCTGGTTGATGAGGACGGGCTGGTTGATGAGGACGGGCTGGTTGATGAGGACGGGCTGGTTGATGAGGACGGGCTGGTTGATGAGGACGGGTTGGTGTTGATGAGGACGGGTTGGTTGGTGAGGACGGGCTGACCCCTCCCCAACCCCCCTTCTAAATAGGGTCCTCAAACCCCTCCCCCGTCTTCCGACAGAACCCCCACCAGACAGGACCGCTCCACCTCCCCTCCCCAAGGGCCGTGGAGGAAACCCCTACAATACGACAATCAAAATACAAAAATAACAATACTGGAGTTTGAAAACGTATTTATTTGAGGAAGGTGCGGACCCGGGAGTATAGTGGCGCGCGCTGACTGCTTGACGGGGCCCCACGCCTCGCTCATTGCTACAATAACAGGCGGTTATGTTCAGGTAAAAGCTATTTGCCCGGCCAACATGGCTGCGCCTGGAGTGTCTATACCTGCGTCCGGAGTGACTATACCTGCGCCCGGAGTGACTACACCTGCGTCCGGAGTGACTATACCTGCGCCCGGAGTGACTATACCTGCGCCCGGAGTGACTATACCTGCGCCCGGAGTGACTATACCTGCGCCCAGAGTGTCTATACCTACGCCGGGAGTGTCTATACCTGCGTCCGGAGTGACTATACCTGCGCCCGGAGTGACTATACCTGCGCCCGGAGTGACTATACCTGCGCCCGGAGTGACTATACCTGCGCCCGGAGTGACTATACCTGCGCCCAGAGTGTCTATACCTACGCCGGGAGTGTCTATACCTGCGTCCGGAGTGACTATACCTGCGCCCGGAGTGACTATACCTGCGCCCGGAGTGACTATACCTGCGCCCAGAGTGTCTATACCTACGCCGGGAGTGTCTATACCTGCGTCCGGAGTGACTATACCTGCGCCCGGAGTGACTATACCTGCGCCCGGAGTGACTATACCTGCGCCCGGAGTGTCTATACCTGCGCCCAGAGTGACTATACCTGGGCCAGGAGTGACTATACCTGCGCCCGGAGTGACTATACCTGCGCCCGGAGTGACTATACCTGCGCCCGGAGTGACTATACCTGCGCCACAGGCAGCTACAGGTGGCGACAAAGCAACTTGTCCTCGACTCAAGTCCAAGTGACCATCACCAGTCAAACACAATTATATATTTGATAAATCTACACCGTCAATTGTTATATTATACGCCATTAACTGTTTGTTGATTGATTTATCTACTTAGAACATTAACTAGAGTGGCGTTGAGTTCCTCGACATGTTCCAACATGTTCCCCCCCTCGAGTCATGGAGGATTAGACTTTGTGGAAACTATTTTCAGATTATAACTATGGAAATAATCCAGCGGCAGTTGTGTCGCGCGGGAAAATTAACAAAAGCAGATCTTGTTAATCCTTTAAAACGCTCGATGTTTACCCTCTGTTGAAAATGGTATTGTTGTGGGGTTTTAGCCCCGGGATTCCCGCCGTCCCCCACCCAGACCCACAATGCACCGCGCGCGCGGGACTGTTTACACAATGGCGCCAGTCAGTAAATATCCCCTTTCATCCTGCAAAGCGCTTTGGCTACCTTGTTCTTTTTAAAAGATACACTTTGAATATACGGACGCACGCACATACATACACGCATACATGCATGCATACACACACACACACACACACACACACACACACACACACACACACACACACACACACACACACACACACACACACACACACACACACACACACACACACACACACACACACACACACACACACACACACACACACATACACACACATACACACACACACATATACACACACACACACACACACACACACACACACACACACACACACACACACACACACACACCAGAAGGAAACCAGAATTATGTGAACATGTTTGTGGATGGTGCTAAGATACTGGGGAAGACAGGAGACGCAGACGAGTGTATTGCCCTTCAAATTGATCTAGTTAAAGTAAGTGCTTGGAGCTTGAAGTGGCAAATGAAATTCAATGTGAATAAATGCCATGTTATGGAATGTGGAATCGAGAAAATAGACCACACACAACTTACGAATTATGTGGAAAGGAATTACAGAACTCTAATAAAGAAGGAGACGTATGGGTGGTCTTGGATAGTAAGCTGTCGCCAGAGGAACACATAAAGAACATTGTGAGAGGAGCGTATGACTCGCTTACCAACTTCAGACTTGCTTTTAATTATATGGAGGGTGAAATACTAAAGAAACTGTTCATGATTTTTGTGAGACCAAAATTTGAATAGTTTGTATGGTGCCCAAATCTGAAAAAGCACATAAAGAAACTGAAAAAGATGCAACGGCACCTTTTCCAGTTTATTTAAAAATGGCTCCGGAACTGAAAAGCAAGAGTTACGAGGAGAGACTAGATGCATTAAATATACCGAATCTAGAAGATAGAAGAAAAACAGGAGATATGATCATCATTTACAAAATACTAACAGGAATCGACCAAATTGACAAAGGAATTTCTGAAACCAGTAACTTCACGAACAAGAGGACACAGATTTAAGTTAAGGAAATAAAGGTGCCGGACAAATATCAGAAAGTTTTCTTTCGCAAACAGAGTGGTAGACGGTTGGAACAAGTTAGGTGAGAAGGTGGTGGAGGCCAAACCCGTCAGTAGTTTCAAAGCGATATACGACAAAGAGTGCTGGGAAGACGGGACACCATGAGCGTAGTTCTCAATCCTGTAACTACACTTAGGTAATTACACACACACACACACACCTGGGGTCTATGTTCTCCTATTCCACATATGGAATGTGGAATAGAAGAACATAGACCTCACACAACCTATAAATTATGTGAGAAATCTTTAAAGAATTCTGATAAAGAAAGAGATCTAGGGGGGGTTCTAGATAGAAAACTGTCACCTGAGGGCCACATAAAGAATATTGTGCGAGGAGCCTATGCCACGCTTTCTAACTTCAGAATTGTTTCTAAATCCATGGATGGCGATATACTAAAGAAATTGTTCACGACTTTAGTTAGGCGAAAGCTAGAATATGCAGCAGTTGTGTGGTGCCCATATCTTAAGAAGCACATCAACAAACTGGAAAAGGTGCAAAGACATGCTACTAAGTGGCTCCCAGAACTGAAGGGCAAGAGCTACGAGGAGAGGTTAGAGGCATTAAATATGCCAAAACTAGAAGACAGAAGAAAAAGAGGTGATATGATCCTACGTACAAAATAGTAACAGGAATTGATAAAATCGATAGGGAAGATTTCCTGAGTCCTGGAACTTTAAGAACAAAAGGTCATAGATTTAAACTAGCTAAACACAGATGCCGAAGAAATATAAGAAAATTCACTTTCGCAAACAGTGGTAGACGGTTGGAACAAGTTAGGGGAGAAGGTGGTGGAGGCCAAGACCGTCAGTAGTTTCAAAGCGTTATATGACAAAGAGTGCTGGGAAGACGGGACACCACGAACGTAGCTCTCATCATGTAACTACACTTAGGTAATTACGCTACGGAGATTACAAGCCGAGTGGACAAGCGGGAGGAATGGTCCAGAATATGGCTACTAAAGCTTAACTCATGTGAGTGTAATGTAATGAAATTAGGTGGAGGGAGCAGGAGGCTGAACACAAGATACCATCTGGGAGGTGAACTCCTGCAAGAGTCAAACAAAGAGAAAGATCTGGGGGTTGATATCACACCGAACCTGTCCCCACAGGTGGAAACTGAGTACCCAAATGAGCCACACAGACATTATACAGAATTTGTTCAGTGTCAGATTAGTTTACAAATGGAATGCATTAAGCAGTGATGTGGTGGAGGCTGACTCCGTACACGGTTTCAAATGTAAATATGATAGAGCCCAATAGGCTCAGGAACCTGTACACCTGAGCCCAATAGGCTCAGGAACCTGTAAACCTGAGCCCAATAGGCTTAGGAACCTGTACACCTGAGCCCAATAGGCTCAGGAACCTGTACACCTGAGCCTAATAGTCTCAGGAACTTGTCCTGTCCAGTCCAGTTGATAGACAGTTGAGAGGCGGGACCAAAGAGCAGAAGCTCAACCCCCGCAAGCACAACTAGGTGAGTACACACACACACACACACAAAAGCATGCACATATGAACTGCAGAAAGCAGCAACAGCAGCACACATAATGAGATCAACCACTAGTCATCGAGGGACCTAATTCACGAAGAGATCGATTAGGACTCGAGGAATCTCCAAGGTGGATAAGAAACGTGGGGAGCAAAGTTAGTAGAAGCTATGGTTAGAAACATCTGAACACAACATGTAAAATAATGCCACAGGAGGAAGGGCAGGAGATACACCAAGCCTACTGGGCCTGATATTTACCCAGAACGAGGAAGCAGCAATCAAGAACCTGGAACATAAAATACCGCTGGAGCCGGTGATCACTGTGTCCTGGTCTTTGATTATGTGACGGAACGTAAACAATCACCAAAAGAAAAGAGGTCAGAGGGGCATGAGAGTAGAATATAGAAAATGGGATTACTTGAACATAAGAAAGCAACAGGTAAAGATGCAATGGCAGTAAGATCTTATTTATTTATTTGTTTGTTTATATACAAGAAGGTACATTGGGTTTGAGAGAATACATAGCATAGTATTTACAATCTTGTAAAGCCACTAGTACGCGCAGCGATTCGGGCAGAAAACGCTGCGCGTTTTCGAAACGAAAACGAAATCTTAGAAGGAAGACAGTCCAGGAAATGATAAAACATATCAAATGGAGATACACAAGAGACTGAGGAGAGAAAGATTCATTCCAAGAACAAGGGAAAAGGAAGGAGAGAATATGATATTCCAATTCCATATTCACAATGAGAATATTCCGATTCTAATAAATATAAATACTGAAATCTTTATAAATAACATGACTAACAATAGAAAACATAGAAAACATGACTTTTCAATTCTTTTCCGCCAAGAGGCAGCAAAGGTCATATGTTTACATTTAACTATAATCACACTTGCATATTAGTATGCAAATGTGATTATGTATTTTATCTAAAGCTCAGTTATCCTCGGGTTAACCCCAAAGATATCATTTTTTAAAATTAAGATTATAATTCTACTTTACCCCATTTAGACCAAATATGTCTAAAGTACTAATAACAATATAATTAAACCCATGAAAGAGGATTTAGTAAATCTAACAAATTAGAATCTATAATCTAACAAGCTGATCCAACTCATTGTAGAAGTCGGATGAATAGTTAGCGCGGCTATAACAACATAATTAAACCCCATAGAAGAGGATTTAGTAAATCTAACAATTTACAATCCATAATCTAACAAGCTGATCCAACTACTCATTGTAGAAGACGGATGAGTAGTTAGCGCGGCTAAAAAACTAGTAATCCAACTCACCGGAGTAGTTGGAGAAGTAGTTAGTGTGGATACAGACGGGAAATCTCCCTGTCCACTTAGCGTTGGTGCAGGTGAGTCGAGAGTCTCCAAGGAGCTTGTACTTGCCCGGCCTCTCACACCGAGCTGCGATGACGGCCCCGTGGGGGAACTCCAGCTCCGGAGACGGCTGTGGGGAGACAAGACGTAGCTTGAGGTTATCCTACCGTCTTCACCAGGTTATCATACCTAGGTCACAAGGCGTAGCTTGAGGTTATCCTACCGTCTTCACCAGGTTATCATACCTAGGTCACAAGGCGTAGCTTGAGGTTATCTCACCGTCTTCACCAGGTTATCATACCTAGGTCACAAGGCGTAGCTTGAGGTTATCTCACCGTCTTCACCAGGTTATCATACCTAGGTCATAAAAGTATTTGTGTGTATGTCTGATACCATACTACTTGTGTAAAGGAGGAAATGTAGATGTTTATCTCTCAGAATGTTTGGTAATATGTTTATTGTTTGTGATGTGTGTCTATGTATGTATTAACACGATGTACTGAACGGGGTGAGAATAGCTTGAGCTACCTCATCCCTTTGTGTGGATTTTACATCAATAAACTTATTTCAATTTCAATCAGCATGGTCATGTTACTATGGTTCCATGGTGTTGCATTTGTGGTCATGGTGAGGTGATTAGGGGTAAGGTGATTGTTTATATGGTCAACTGGTTTCATCTAAGGTCAATCTCGTCAATTAGGGGTCAATGTAAGATGTTTGGTCATAGCTATATGTGATATCTAACGATATTTAAGAGTTTCACACGCATTTTTTTTTATATTGGTCCCAAAATGGGACTAGATTTTTAGGCCTGGTCCCTCTCCGTGTGAAAGCCTGACTGCAGAACATAACAAAGGTGATATTCCGCTGGACATGTCAACTTGACCAAAACGTCAACTTTGTAAAGACAAAATACCGGACGTCTGAGTGTTCTATCAAGACGATAGCAACAAAAAAATTCTTGTCTGTTATTTATATATAACGTGACGTTGGCTACTCATGTGCTGTTTATGAGGCGATAGTGAGTAGTGTTGAAGAGAAGCGTCCACATGGATACCACATACACCATGATCGACACCCACACCCACACCTGGCCTGGGTGTCGACACCCACACCCACACCTGGCCTGGGTGTCGACACCCACACCCACACCTGGCCTGGGTGTCGACACCCACATCTCAGCCACACCATCTGGTGCTGGCTAGGTAGTGGGGCATACTGCTACATCGTCCTTCACTCCTATACCATCCACCTTCCTGCCCAAGACCCACCCTTCTTCACGACCCACTCCACCCTAGCCTATACCCACCCACTCCGCCGCCCATATCACCCTTGCCCACTCCTGGCCCGGTCTCCACCCGCCGCCCCTGCCTCCCCGCCTACCCACTGGCCCTCCGATACGACACATTTTCCGGCCGCTGGACGCTATTTTCCTCCAGAGTGAATGACTGCTACCGACGGGGCGTGTGGGAGTGCTATAGTGGGCGGTGTGGCGAGGGCGGTGTGGAGTGGGTGGCGTGGAGTGGGCGGCGTGGCGAGGAATGGGCCAGGCGTGGGTGGAAGACCTCCCTGCCTTACAAGCGACCTTAAGACAAGAGACTGACACACCAGACGCCCGGCGCTCATTTCATTACAAACTTTCTTATGCACTCAGAGGGAAAAATTGAACATTACTGTCGGCTTCCAATATAATATTTTATTTTAACAAAAAAACTTCCATTTTCTCTCATATCCAATAAACTATTTTCACAAGAAGAGAGAGACCACTTTCAGAAGAAAACAAATGAAGGCGATATATTCAAGTCTCCTACACGGGTACCAGAGAAAAATTTGCATTTGGGGTTTGACTTGATCTTTCTTGAGACATCTCCCCCTCCCTCGTGGTTCCCCTTCCTCAAAGTATATTTCATACTGAGGAAAGATCAATATATACCTCGCCCTCGAGCGTTGAGCCCAACAGTCTTTGACTCGATACCACTCAACAGCCTGAAAGAGCACTCGAGTGAAGGAGTACCTAACAGACAGGAAGCAGACAGTCACGTTGAGTTAGAGAAAACAGACTAGGTATATTGTTTTTCTCGTCCCAGATTTATTCTTGAACTGTACCAATGATTCGACCAATGGGTAGAACAGCCTCACATGTTAATGTCTGCAGACGACGTCTCAGTTATCAGTGGAGACAAGAACCTAGAGCTTGGAGAACCTAGAACCTTGAGTTTGGAGAACCTAGAGCCTGGAGAACCAAGAGTCTGGAGAACCTAGAGCTTAGAGAACCCAGACAGGTCACACAGCTGCTCCCAGAAGTAACTACTGTAGTGTATATAGTGATAAGAACTGTCTTGGAAGACAACCAGGAGGAGAGTAGTACACCAGAACACAATGATGGGGAAAACTTGTTTCAAACTCGCCAGTATATACTCTGAGAGGAGTATACCCCTATCTTTCGGTATAATACACAGAGTTTACCATGTTCAGGGCTAAAGTATACTTCCTGGTTGGCCAGTTAGTAGTATAACGACCTTAATAACTCTCCTGCACACCACCAAACCACTCCCCCCTCCCC